TTACACCTTACAGACGCCACCGTGGGAAAAAAAAGCTAATCTTGCCAAATTGTCGTTGTGAATGTTCATGTGGTGTAGTGAGAGCAGTTAGTGCTAAGGTTTCTTACACTTTGATGAGCTCTCCTGTTTCTGCACTTCATAAGTACAATGACAATGTGAAAAGTGATTTATCTCCCATGTGGTAGTACTACCTCTCTCTTTGAAAAGGATGAACAGTGATCAACAACAGCGAAATTGTTCTCGTAATCAAAGGCCAATAAAAATGGGCCACTAGCAACACAGAAAATTGGAATAAAAAGTACAACTCGGCTTAAAAAGAGTATGACAAGGTGTGGTGTCAATCCTAAGTGATTCATTCTCCCCAAAATTTATTTGTTTATTCTATGTGAGCCTGTTGGTACAAGGCGGTACTTGTAAATGCCAAAAACATAACTTGGACACAATAAATAGTGCGACCATAATAAAGTAGTCATGCATAAACAGGTGGAGGTGATATGGAGATTTGACTGAACCACCTAAACAACCGCATAAAATGCCCTTAGATAGATGTGAATGCCCTACTTCAACCATTTGATCAATTCTCGGTTTAGAGTGATGGGCTGCTTCGGAGCCCACCACTGTACCTCCGTCAGTTGGATTGACCGTGCCAAAAATACACGTTCTGTTGGAGGAGGATGTCATCGCCTGTCTTCAGTGGGTCCAGAACAGACGTCTAGAACAACTAATTAATTAACATTCCAGTCTTACGAGGACCCCAAGGCCAAAACAAATGTGCGACAATTGATCTGCCCTAACAGACCACTTTGCAATTGTGAATGATCGCCACTCGAACAGACAAATTACTTTAAGACGAGAAAGACGTTTCATGGCAAAAGTAAGGACGTCTGATGCATTTCTGGGTCGGTATAGTCACCAGCACACCGTAACGCAGGAGGACAATAAACATCCGGTGTTTAGCATTCGTTTAAAGAGTGACACAGAGTACAAAAGCCCTTTTCATCATAGCCGGTACAACGTCCCTCTGGAAAGCAAAGCAATGGGTGTGTTGTGGATATGATAAACATAATAAGATTTCTAAGAGGAATTGCATTTATTGAAAGGTGATAAAAAAAAAAAGAAACCCGACAGATGACGGTAGAGTAATTAATTAATCACTTGCTGTTTAGTCTTCAAGTCAGACTTTTCACGCTTTCGTAGGACTATGTGGAGGTCGTGGTGGTACCATCTGGATTGTGGCCTTGGTGAGCCGTCGGCTAGTCCACCTTCTAGCCACCGAGATGGTTGGCAAAAGTAATTCAGCTTTGTAAAAGACTTCAAACGTCTCCTAGATAGTTATGCATTCGTATTTTGTCATCACACAGAAGGTTGACCGCCTTGTATAATCTTCGAAAAAAAAGTCCTACTTGCTCCAGTTGTCTTTGGTGTAGATTTACAAACAAGATTCACATTAAGTATGCCAAAATCAAGGCACGTCTTATTTTTACAACAATACAGACTTCAAAATTGTTGCAAGACAGGAAGGATGCAGTTTGGTGTGCGAGAATCCTCTCAGTCTGCAGAGAGAAGCGCATTAAGATTGGTGATTTGTGGACTGTCAAAGTGGAGTCTAGCGCCGCTCCGTGTCTTCTGCCAGGAAGACATATGGCAAGTTTACTTGCAGCTTTGTCAGTAGTATTGTACCCTTTCTTATGTAAACTTTTCCAACAATTACTACCTCCAGACAGTGCTACTGTTGCCTCGCCCACCTGCCTGCGCCCCTCCAACACGCAAGTTGGAGTTTCTTAGCAGTCACGAAGAGTAAATGCCTGTCAAACGTGTTGAAATTAAAAATGCAGCATTTGTTCTACCTTGAGTTGACTACAAATGAAGACATAAAATGCACGTTTAATTTCTCACCACTACAACAGTGTGGAGGATATCGCCCACAACAGAGACGACAGAATGTAGCGCCTCCAGTCTGTAATGCTCTTGCAACAAGTTGATTCGGTGAGGTGACAATCATGAATGCCTATCCACCAAATGCATGATAAATGAATGAATTAATTTCCAGCCTTAAATACCACGGAATGGATGATGTGAAGGTGTGGCATTCAATGCCCAGTAAGACATACAACCCCACCAACCAAGCCGGAAGTTCGTTTTTCAAGGCGGAACATGGCTTTTTCGTCAGTCAACTCAACCAAGCAAAGCAATGAGCATTCATGCGAGTGGGAGATGCAGTTTGACCATTTTGGTCCGATTCCTTCAATGTGAATGAAATAATTAAACTGTACAGTCGATTGAAACGATTGAATGAATCTTCAGTGAAGTTAACTTTTGGATGTCCACGACAGTGAAAAATTTCCCTACCCGCCTACCTACCTACCTACCTACGTACCTAACCTACCTAATGGCATGTAATTTATAAAATCTTTTAATAGAAAATTGCAAGAGGGACGGAAGGGAGGAATGCCAAACGACAAGGGTTTATGGGTGTGCAGACAGGGTGCACCAAGACTTTGGTGTTTTGACCGGTTCTATTGCCTTGTTGTTCCCTTTCAAGGGTATAGGATTTTCAGACACTCAAATTTCTCTACTTGGACCAAAAGCAAACCACGACATGCATTCATTTGCCTTGCAGTGGAGGACTTAATGCCTCGACTAAAGTTGGAGAAAAAGAGGGTAATTTCGACCTCTTCACAAATACCAAATCCAGGTCCGATTGGTCTCTCCAGACTGTTGGCAAGCATCGCTCCTTCTACGGTGATGACTCATTACTGCCTTTTTTTTGAACACTCTTGAGCCGCCACAGGGATCGGGAAGAACAATAGTGAAAAACAGAAGGCTGTGCAACGAAGTAGGTTCGAAAGATGCATACCGTAGTCTTCAAGTTGTGCCTAGATCTTCCCTTCTTCACAGTGCTAAGGTGAAACGTGAAGGATGAAGGAATTACTGACAGAAATGCCAAGATTGCAGATTGGTGACACATCAACAGCCGCCATTCTTTGCTTGAAACTTGGTTTAGTTCAGTCGTAGCGTAATCACGTGGGCGTTATGCGTCAGACACAGGTGAAAAGGCCAGCAATGATGGATTAACAGACCTACTTTACTCCCAACACACAGAGAACAAGGTGTTAGTCAGAGACCGGGGCTACAGGTACACTCACCTTTCCATCTATACGACACATTGAAGCTGTTGGATGTTCCCATTGCACGACTCCTTTCATTCAGGCACTCACCCATTCATCCGGTATGCCATCTGGTGTGGAATTACATGCACACTACCCAACACTAGCACAGAAAAAAAAAACGCAACCCGAATCGTTTTCGGCCTTGAGAAGCAACCCACCAACACCTAGACGCTCACATCCCCTCCCAATGTTGATGTACGCAAAAAAAAAAGCATTATCTCCATTTCTTTTTCGGCAAAAACGAAGTTTGTGCAAACTTTGCACAAGAGAGTGGAAAATTAAATCCTCTTGGTCTCTAATGGAATTAGGGAACAAATAAACCCAACATTGATAATCCCTTCCTTCCATTAATCACGTGGACTAGCAGCTATGCAGGATATGCCGTGCCAAAAGTTGATTGAGGGAATAATGGACGATGGCACGAAGACGGTGAAGACAGACTTATTTAGCATCTTCTTTTTTTTTCTCTTCCGGCTTCCACTGTTTCCTCCTGCAGCGCCTTAATAACAACCGTTTGTTGCTTGTTGGCATGTCGGTGACTCGATGAATTGCATTATTAAATCAAGTTGGCGGAGAACAGAGCAATCAGCATCGAGTTGATTTGATCACCAAATTAATTATTAAGTTTACCAACTGCGCAATACAGGCAAGGATTAAATTATCTGCTAAGGTTGCTCCTCCTTTTGCCAACAGTGCCGGATGCTCAACACCTCACCTTGTGGGATTGGGAGAAATTAACTGTACCTCACCTTTGCCTTGCTTCAGTCCATTCAAGTGATGTGGAAGGAGGTGAGATGTGCACTCCAGACGTACTGCCTTTTTTTTTCACAACAAAAGTACTGCTTACACACACAAACATGACTGGGTGAATTAAGCAGAACACTCCGAGGAATTGAATAAGTTTATGAAAAAAAGTTTTTCCCCCCCCCTTTTTTTAAATATGGCATTTTCATTTGAAGCAATCACTGAAAGTTGTGATGTGTCCACACCACCACATCATTGTCATCACTCCCACACAAATGTCTGGTCAGCTTTTTTGGCATCTCATCTTTCGCACACAATCCAGCATCCAAAGCTAAACGCTACATATCAAACTTATGATTTTTCAAACTGTAAAACAGTTGTTCGTTTATCCAATTTTGCAATTCAGTTAAAAATATGGTAAAGTGTAAATGAGCGTCTCTTGTTCAGGCAACAAAACGCCTTGCTAAGGAGGGACTAAAATCATCGTCGGCAAGTATGCAGGAAGGGATGTGTAGATGATGTCGCCGTCTAGAACGGTAAGACTTGATGCAGGTGGCATTACAGACCTAAGCAAAGGCGAATTTGGTGTTAAACAATTTTCTCACGTTATTTTACATGAAAATGTTGGAACAGTTGTTTGGTGGAGGAGAAGGTGCTGCCTATTGTTGCCTTCTTTATCAATGTAAAGTAGATTTGGTGTTTTGAAGGAGTTGACACATTGAATTTTGCACCAACACAACAGTGAAGTCTAAACAGAGGTTGACCAAAAATGAATTCACATGACATAAACAACTATTAAAGCAACAGTGTGTGTTAATTAGACCATCTATTTATTCACTTCTTCTTTAAAACAATGTTAGGAGATGACTGGAACCATCGAGTGAAGTGTCAGAGTAGGTGAAGCAATGCCTGACTGATAAGAGAGTGACATTTTTGAAGAGTTAAACAATGCAATTCACGTGGCGACACAAGAACAGAGGTAAGAAAAACGCACATTTTTTAGCAAAAACAAACAAACAAACAAGAGCGTTTACTCACCATGGGCTGTGAATGAGGTGGGTGGATGGTTAGAGCGACAAGCGATCGCTATTGAACCATTTTGAAGGTACCATCGTGGGACCGCTTGTAGGAGGGTGTGCCTGACATCCGAAATCCAACATTCGTCGGTAAGGGTGGCAGACCAGGATCGCCATTCATAAGGAGGATGTCACCGTTCTCCATACACGACTTATTTCGTGGCATCATGTTTAGAAAGTCTGGTATGGAAGATCGATAGCCTGGAGGCGGTAAATCGCCCGAATATACACTTCCACGTAGATATGGATAACCCAGACAGGCGAAGGGTGGCCGGAAGGAGTACTGACTACGTGTTTCACTTAGAAGGTTTGAACATGAGTTCTGTGAAGGTGTTCCATAGACCCACGTTCCGCCATTACTCAGAGAGGCTCGATGAAGTTCCTCACAAGAGGCGGTTCCACAGATTATGTGCTTCAAGGAAGTAGCTGAGTATCGATGCTGAATGGTGTTGCGTTCCTCCTTCTGTTTTCTCGCTCTAACCCGTCGTCGAATAAGCAGTGCGACAATGAGACAAATTAGGAGGACTGTAAGTACGGTACACCAGATTATTACCGACAGCAAAAGGGGCTTCATACGAGTACTCCCACCTGCCGTTTGTAGGTCATGTTCTTCAATATCCTCCAATGCAACTTTCCATCCATTTGAAGCATTCACACTTACGATGTAATCGTCAATAGAGTTATTTTTAGGACAGCCTAGAGCGTCGTCCAAAGTTGGGCAATTGTCCATGTAGACCATGGTAAGCGCATCCAGTGTTCCTCCAGATTTGACCGATTCATGCAATGAGAATGTCAGAATTGTAGACTTTTCAATAGGTTTTTCACCAACACACTTGTGACATCTAACTTCCACGTTCATTTCTATAGGCATACTGGGATCTTGTGGTTGTAAACGAAGAAAAGTTGGAATATCTGCATTTCCTCTAATATCATTAGGCAGTTCTGGAAGTCGGTCGCTGTCAAGGGTCAGTGATGTGATTTTTGAATGCTTCAGAAGTGTGTCCGGGTGAATGGTGCCTACTTGAAGAACCTCCAAGTTAGTTAGAACATCTTCAAGTCCCGCGAATGAAGTTGTAGTGAGTTCCAGGATGTTCATGTTAAGGAAAATACTCAATGTCCCCTCTGAGCCCAATTTGTTGAGGTCTTTCAATCCCCCAGGAAGTATTCTCCTTATGCTGCTACGATTGCCGATTATTATTCGATCATTTACCAAATCCTTTTGACATGGGATTTCTACCTTGAAATCTTTGTGTTGACTTGCGGAGCACAGCAGTTCCTGGTCTGCAGAAAGGGAACAAGTGAATGGACATTCCTCGGAGTTGGAAGATTGGACAAGCGCCGTTGCTAGCGCCGTGCTCAGTAAGGAAAACAGGCTCATCAATGGCCCCATCCAGACTTGCCCTTAATGGTTAGGGCGTAAGTCACGGCGACTCTGCCTTTAAAGCTTTTAAGTGACGTTATTACTACCACGGTCGCCAAATCAGCTGTACACTTACTTACAGGCTCTCTGATTGGTGGAATTGTCTTGTCTGCACATTTACTGGTCATTGCAGGAGCCAATGAATGAACTGTAACCCACCTTGGCGCTGAGGTTTGCAATGCTTGTAAAGCCACTATGAAATTCAAGTGGGTGACGTCGAACTGGACCTTGAACTATAGTGTAAATGCTCAATTTTACTATTGCTGAACACAAAACCACATTTATTTTGTACAAAATGAGTTGTAAGACCTGAACTTGTTTATAACCGCCTCCACAAACCACAACTACGTTGAGAAAGAAAAATAAGTGAAAACATATTTCGACACTAAATTTTGATTGTTTATCCTTAAGTGAAGAAGCAAATGAAATAGTACAACTGTTAATTCACTCCTATTGATAAACACGCCACGTATGTGTGACGGGAAAAACTCAGACGTGAAATTTGACAAGTCATATAAGAGATATTATTATATTCAGGCCCAAGGGTTGACTTAAAACATCGGTTTTGTTTTGGCATTGTGCCTCAATGCTTATTCAAATATGTGTGCACAACAATAAAGTCCACATTGCGTTTTGATGTTTGTGAATGCCGCTAATCTAGATTGTGTAGCTCAAAATGCCTCATTTAAATGCAACATTGCATACAAAGAATGAACTGTACGGTCGTAAACACTTCTCTGCATCACTGTAGCATTTGAAAGTAGTCTCCAATTATGTTTTCTCATTTTTTTTTCGAGAATTACAATTAATAAGGGAAAATGAGAGAAAGGGAAAAATCATTTTCATTCCATGTCACAACCTGGCTAAAAGTACTTCATCCATCCATTAATTATGCAAGCTATGAAAAGCATGTGTTATAGCCTAAAGTGTGTGCTGGTTCCGGCTCTAGGGTGATGTGACGACATTAGTGTCGGTTTTTTTAGCAAAAAAATCCATTTCTTACCTCAAAGAAATAACTTAACGCCTTGTCTAACGTAAATCAACCCAAAGAGTGGTTATTTTTTGTTCCTCAGAACGTCAAAATTTAAAAATTTGGACAATTGAGGACCCAATTGTTTGGTAAAGTGATAGGGAATGGGGAGAGGGCAGAAAAGGGGAGATTTTTAATGCGTATCTGGCCTCTTTCTAATTCCATTAGTTCCATCGCTGTGGTCCACACAGCAGCTTGGACGCCTCCATTTGCATGCAGTTGGCTCGGCTCGGAGACAAGAAATTAATCGAATCTGCAGGAAAGTAATTAAGGATCCTCCCAAAGGCCATTTTTCTTACCAAGTTCCACAACCTCCAGCCAATACAATGCCGACCAACCTTTAATTTTAATTCGTTGTTGTCCTACCCCTCCGCCAGAAGCGAAAATGACGTTCAAGTTTGCCTGATTTATAGGCTTCAGGTAGAGGAAAGCTTGAATGTCTGATATTTGTACCATTAGGACAAAAAAACGCAGTTGTTGCTGGTTATTTCACCCGATCTCGTCAACGACGCGCCTCTTGAAATTGCAGTCTCGCTAGGTCCTACCGTTGCCTTAAACCCACTAGACAATGGTGAAGACTCCATTTTCACACAAGTGAACTTAAAAAGACATCTTAATTACTCCGTTAGACAACTGTTTATGTCCTCTTTTAGTAGACGGTTTTCTTAAGGATAGCGAATCTACTGCTCTACGAAGTGGGGAGGAGAAATAAAAGGAGGCACCTGCTCTTCCTCCCTTAGTGTTGCCTGTAAGCAAAGGTGGAGCGTGTATTGATGAAAAATTTTCACATTTTTTCTACTAAAACTCTTTGTTAAAACCTTTTTATTCCATCTTTCGCCGATCTGACTCCTCCACAGGGGAGGACGTATTCGAGAGGATTACCAACTCTGTGCCTCTATGCCATTTATCTTAACTTTTTGCTCAACTAAATGGAAGCCACTATGAGCCTCCTCAGGAGAGAGTCCGCTACCGAATAAGAGTCATACAATGTCACCGGATAAGGAGAGAAGTTTATAAAACTTCGTCCACGCTTCTCAAGATTGGTTAAAACGGCCATTTTTATGGTCACGGTCGCCTTGGGGGTGGGTGGAGAGGAAATAAATTGTTCTAACACTCACCTTCACAAGGGGGAAGGGCATCATTAAACCTTAAATCGTGTTAATAAAAGTTCCTTAAAAGACATGAAAGTGAACTCACCGACTGTAGAAGCAAGTATTAATGTCATACCTACTAGGTAAAAGCAGAAAGAGAACTTGAGACAATCAAGAATGACAATAGTTCTCCGGATGGATCAACTGACGGTGAGCACGATAGCTCACCTGCAGAACATATTACTAATGGCACAAGTTCTCACAGCCCTAATAACATTCCATTGAAATCCTCGATTTGAGGCATTTGGTTGCACAAATGAGGCGCATCAGTCGCCGAACCTTTCAAATAAGGCTTTAGGCCTATCTAATGGCAAATTGTGCCTTTGGTGGTCCACTTCTGCATTTAGGTAGCCTTCTAAGCGTCTGATGCAACTTATTTTCTCCGTGTATTTAATTACTTGTATAGAACGACTTCTGTTGAGGTAAAAAGAGGCAATAAAGGGTTAAGTGAATGCCAAAGTGGCACTTTGAAATCCCCATCCACTCATGCGATGCACGGAGGTGAATCATGTGAGCGGCAGTAAATGGAGCCGCTCATGAGTAACGCTTGCGTAGCCTCTCAACCCCAATGCGTAGACATGTGTCACCAGCTTTAGGTCGTTATTAAGTAACAAAATCCCTCCATGTTACTTTGATTGTGCGTGGTGTTTGTCTTAGGCTGACTCATGTTGCCTGGAAATGAGTCAGTTGTGTTTTACAACCTCAAGACACTCATACTATGCTAGTCTCAATGTGGCTTAGTGCTTTGTCATTCACTTAGAAGTCGAGGACTGTCACCAAAGTTACTACATCTTCATCACTAAAAGGGTTTATGTTAAACTACAAATCACGAAATTGGTAGGTTATAATGGATGATTGTACAACCTTCAAGTTACTGAGGTGCATCTCATTAATTATTTTGGATCGAGGTAGATCTGTGCACTTCGTCTAACACCACCAAATCGACAGCCTGAATTTAGACCTCAAGCAGTAGTAACCA